TCCGCTTTCCTCTCTGGACCTCGAAGCCGCTCCACCCGCAGCCTCCTTGCACCCCTTGTCCCCTGCTGCTGTGGCTGCCTTCTTGGTCAGGGCCCCAGTTGGCACAGAGGAGATGCATGCTGGGTGTGTGGGGCCATGGCACATGCCTGGCGGGCTCTCGCTGGCCACGATTTGCCGTCTCCTGGAGCCAGCTGGGCGCCCAGCCAGAGTCCCCTAGCCAGGGATTCCCATCGCTCCCTTTGGCGGTGTTGGAAGGATCACACTGACACCATTCTCTCAGCAACAGGAAAGCCGGCCCGGGCGGTTCATCTGCTTGTAATTTCCTTTCCGCATGGTCCTGCTTGAGCCCATCTGAACGGATCATCTCTGCACTAGGTTTATGCCATGTTGCACCAGTGAAGGAGGCAGACCAGTGAGGAGAGAGTGACGGGCATGAGACAGGAAAGGCTCTGCTGCCTTCTGACCAGGTGCCGTGACCCCCTCTTCCGGTGGGGAAAGGACAGCCGCATCAACCAACGGTGCCAGGAAAACCGTGTGAAGCTGGGACCTCACCTATCCCCTGGATCGACAAGGAGAAAGACTTGAAGGAAAGGCCTGGCTACAGCACTACTGAAAGAACACAAAGCCCCAAAGCACCAGGATATCTGGTTTGGCGAGGACATCATATGCACAGGACACGAAGAAAAACACACATTGGGCTCCATGAAAAAAAAATTTACACTCTACATCAAAAACAATAAAGACTGAATGGGAGAAAGTATCTGCAGATTGTAAATCTCCGAAGGGGTTGGTGTCCAAAGCGTAAGAGAATCCCCCAGGTTCAGTGATGACAGCAAAGTGACCTGACCACGGGGGCTGGTGCGGGCACAGGCATCTCCCACAGGGACGAATGAACATCGGTCACGGCCGCGGGGTGGCGTCAACACGCTGGCCGGCAGGAAGTGGGAATCCAACACCGTGAGACACTCTACACCTGTGCAAGGGCCAACGGGGTGGTTTTTAGGCCAAAAAACAACAGAAAGTGTTGCTGAGGGCTTGGAGAAGCTGGAGCCCACACACCGCTGAGGGGACCCGGAGGTGGAAGCAGGGTCGGGGGCTCCTTGAAGAGTCACAGCTCGAGCGGCTCCGTGACCAGCAGTTCCAGCTCTGGGGCGGGCTTGATCACCGAGCGCAAGGTCTCTGAGACACTGGCACACTGGGGCTCACTGCGGCCTCACACACAACAGACACAGAAGCAGCACGGCATCCACTGAGGCAGGGGCAGACAAACTGGTCCAGCGCATGAGCTACAGGGCGGTCCCCAGCCTTCCAAAGGGGACTTTCTGACATGGCCACAACAGGGATGACCTTGAGGACACGGTGGCCCTACTTGAAGGAGGGCCCCAGAGACAGAAAGCTGAGCAACGGTACCAGGGAAGGGAGTCAGCGTTCGAGCAGGCAGAGCGGCAGCATGGGAAGATAAGTGTTCTGAGCGGCTCACTTAGTCATGGCTGAGACGGTACCTTCATGTGAATTTTATCACCGGAAAAAGGTTAGGCAACAATGACTTCGCATGGAGAAAGATGCATGGGTCCCTGGCCCAGGGCAGGGCAGCCACCGGCTCATTGCTCCTCAGAGATGGGGGCCGGGCAGAGTGTGCTGCCCGCCTCTGATGAGGACCCAATTGGTATACACAGCCAGAGCATGGCCGGCCGCATGGGACAGGACCTCAGCCTCCCGCAGAGGGCAATGGCGAGCCCTGGAGATCAGGATCCCACGCGGACAGGGCCATGGCGAGGCCTTGCAGTCTGCACGGGCCTCAGGGGGCGGCAGCTCCACTCCTCCCAGGGCGGGACACCCTACTCTGACATGGGCCAACGCCCAAAGCACAGGGGGCTCCTACACCTCCAGGACAAAACACCAGTGACCTGATTAAAAACGGGCAAAGGACGAGGTAGACGTTTCTTGAAGACGCAGATTTCCCACAGCTACATGAGAGGCTCATCTCCACCATCAGAGGAGCACAGTCGAAGCCAGAGACGCCACCTCACATCTGCTAGCCACTGCCACCAAAAGGCATGCGACGACGGCCAGTGAGGACGGGTAGGACGGAGCCCTATGCGCACCCGGTGGGGAGGTCAACTGGCCCTGCCGTTGGGGAAACCAGGCAGGGTCCCCAGACCCAGAATGTGTCCCTGTGACCCGGCGAGCCCTCTCCGGGGTACACACCCACAGAACTGCACTTGGGTGTGAAGAGACGCGACTGCAGCACCAGCCGCAAAGCCAGGAAGTGGGATCCACCTCGGTGTGCACGAGGAGGAAGGGGCACAGAAGACCTGGTCCAGACGCGTGCGGCCCCAGAGAGCAGGAAAGACAGCTCGGAACGCAACGGCAGGGATGGCTTGGGGGGCAGTCCCACAGTCCCCTCAACAAGACGAAGTCCCACACACAGGAGGTGGGGGAGAGGCGATGCTGGTCAAAGGGCCCAGAGTTCCGGGAACACAGGGCGAATGGGCCTGGAGACCGCGCGTCCCGCCTGGTGACAGAGCAACAGCATCACAGCACCCACCTCACACACAGACGCTGCCACGCCCCGTGCCGGGTCTGCACTGGACTCGAGGGCGCTGAGCACTCCAGCATGCAGACGTGCACGCGACCTCGCATCACACGCCACGTGGGGCCCTGCACCCCAGCCCACCCAGGCAGGGCCAAGCCACAGCCGCTGCACGTGGCTGGGGGGCGTCCACACGAAGCTCAGTCAGCCTCATATGAGAAGTATTTGCAGGCTGCCAAGCGCGAGAGGCAAGCACTTAGGTACTTTTCCATGGAGGTGGTCTTGTCTCCTTCTTGAATCAAAGTTAAATAGAAACCTCGAGTTAACCGAAGCGTTCTGAAGAGCAGTGACGCTCGAAGGCCCACACTTGACCGCAGGAGCAGGTGGAGCCCTGGGCTGCACCCGCCCGGGAGCGGGGACACGCCTGTCAGCCACAGCATACCGGCCCATGGCGTCCCTCAGGGCGCCTCCTGCCTCTGCCGTCTCCTTCCCACGGCCCAGTGTCCAGGCCCCCACAGCAGACCCAGGCTCCACGTCACTCTTGGGCAGCCTGGGGCTTCCTGGAGGCAGCAGCAGGCCAAAGAGCAGCCCGCACTGCTCAGCCTGGTCACGCTCGGCAGCTGCGGGAGGACACGGTGGGCAGAGGTGGGGCCCAGGTGTGCAGGGCCAGGTGTGTGCAGGTGTGCACAGTGGTGTGCAGGACCAGGGGACCGGCCAGGCCCATGAGCAGAAGGCATGCATGGGGAAGGGACTGGACGGACGTCTCTGCACAGGTGTGGAGGGGCCGCAGGCCCAGCCCACTCCTGCCGGGGCTCCTCCTCCTGCCCAGCACCTCCCTGCCACACCGGCTGGGGTCACCTGCGAGGGTCAGTGCTCAGGGCTCCAACCCCAGGACCCCACAGCCACCTCTGAGGGACCAGGCACCGAGGTCCCTTCCGGTCCCGTTGGGCCCTCTCCCTCCTCCTGCCCATCTCAAGTGGGTGTCAGTGTCCCGTGGGTGGGGGGGCGCCCCTGGAGGGCCCAGGGACGGGTCCAAGGACAGGGGACCCTCCTCTGCCACCACGTCTGGGAGGTCCTGGCCTGATGTGTGCTGCCCACCTCTAGCCTGAGGGGACGCGGGTCACTACCCTGATGGAGAGTGCCCCAGGGCCTTGCTGGGGACACAGCCAATGCGTCCAGATGTTCCCTGAAAAGCCCCTTTCAGGCACTGGCTGGCCGGCTGGCTACAGTGAAACTCCTCGCCCACGCTGCCAGGCCTGGGCCTGGCCGGCTGAAGACCGCCCGCCCAGCCTGAACCCCACGTGACCAAGCCTCGCCCACAGGAGGCTAGGCTTCCCAGGCTTGACCCTGGGCTGCAGGGCTCCTCCAGAAGGAGGCTGCTGTGTGAGGCGAACATGACAACCACTACCCTATGGAAACCGATGAGGCTGCTGTGCTTGAGCTGCCTGGGCCTCCCACAGGGCAGCCGCCCACAGGGACCAGCGCAAGGGGCTCACTGGCTGTGGTGAGGCGCAGCCCTGCGTGGAGGCCTGGGCCGGCTCGGCTGTTCCAGAGGTGGGGGCATGCAGGTGTCAGGAACAGGGTCGCATACATGTACTCAGACACACATACAGCAGTACACACACTGCACAGCCACCCAGTTCACGCCCACCAGGCCCAAGCTCCAGCTCTGTGCCCCTGTGCTGGGGCTGCGCACCCTCAGCACCTGGCCCTGCCCTTCCTGCACCCCAGGCCTGCAGGGGTGGTGGGGTGGGGGGCTCTGGTTTTGCTGGACCAAACTGGCTGAGACTTGCTGGGAACCCCTGGCCCTGGCAGCCCAGCTGCCGAGCGTGCTGACCGTCCCTGCGCAGACATCCCCCACCCGACCCAGGGTCAAGGCCGCCCCCACAGGTGTGAGGCTGGGACACCCACGTCCGCCAGATGGTGCTGAGGAAACAGGACCGGCAAGCAGAGCCAGCTCGGGGCTGACTGCCGCCCACGTCCTCCTTTCTCGTCCTTCCGTCCACCCCCACCGGCCAGCCGCAGGGTGGGCGCAGCCACATCGGGCAGGGCTGGAGCAGGTGCAGGAGGCTGGGCCTCGGTGTGCCCGGCCTCCAAGGCTGCACAGGCCCCGGGAGCAGCCAGACCCCTCCGTGCCACCACAGCCACTGAAACGGCCGAGTGTGCGGGCTGGGGTCACAGGCAAAGCCGCAGCTCTGTGCCTGTTTCCCAGTATAGTGGGCTGACCCGGAACCACGAGGAGGACTAAGTCACTAGGAAGCCCTGGGGCCTCGTGATGGTGCCCCAACCTGACAGCAGCACAGAGCCCGTGGCCACATCCCCTCTGGCTGACTCCACAGCGCCTGCCACTGTGGCTACAGCCACGACTCCACAGCCCAGAGGTTCCCTGCAGGGGCACCTACCTGCCCAGCAAGGCTGGGACTGCCCCGTTACCTGGCCGGGTGTCAGGGGAAGGGCCGGCGGTTACCTGCTGCTGGCCCAATGAGCACACAGAGCCCATCCTCCTGGGCGCGCAGTGTGTCACAGGCCACAGGCAGCCGGGCCCCGTCCAGGCGGCTCCAGCACGCATCCTCCACGGCCTCACAGAACTGGCGGCAGGGCGGCAGGGGGGCCGGCGGGCCGGGGCCGCAGGGGGGCGCCAGCAGCAGGCAGAAGAACCAGGCAAGGAAGGGGTGGCAGTGCGCCCGCAGGAGGCTCCCCCAGGCCTGCGCGGCTGCCTGCACCTCCTCGCTGCTCCTGTGGCGCAGGTGGTTGGGCAGCCAGGAATGCCCAATGCCCAGGCGGCTGCAGGCGGGCAAGGCGGGCGTCAGGGGCAGGCAGCGGCCGTCGGGTGTCGGGGGGCCGAGCCCCAGCAGCGCAGAGCGGTTGGAAGAAGCCACGAGAGAGACCCAAGCACCGCCGTCCCCAGGGAAAGGTTCCAAAGCCACCAGAGAGAGCCAGGCCGAGGGGCCGGAGGAGAGAGCAGAGGGCGCACCCATCACCAGAGAAGGCGCCCAGCGGAAGTCAGGACGTCCATGCCGCCGGCGAGGACCAGCTGCCGAGCCCAGGTCCTGGGGCTGCCCCCAGGGAGGGGCCCTGCTGGGTGCAGAAGAGAGAGAAGCTCTACCTGGGGACAGAGGTGACACAGAGGATCCCCTCAGCGGTGCCAAAGACCTACCCAGGGATGGAGGTGGCTGGGTGGGCACAGCCAGGGCACTGGCCTCGGCCGTCTGGGTGCCCAGAACAGTTGGGGCTCCATGACTGGGCCGGAGAGTGGCCCCGCTGTCCTGGGGGTCACTAGAGGGTCGGGCAAGGGGGTGCACGTCCATGGGGGTGGAGGTGGTGGGTGTCTCCACGGCAGCATCGTCCCACAGCTGGACGAAGTTCCGAATGCCCTGGGCCACATTCAGGATCTTGGCACCAACGCCTGCGATGTTCTCCTCCTTCGCGTCCCAGCTCTCGGCAGGGGGAGCCAGGGGCGTGCGGGTGACACGAGCAGCAGGGGTCTCGCTCCAGGTGGTCGCCTGCTCCTCTGAGGCCGGCCGGGTGCTGGCAAGGGCTGTCCTCGGCTCCGTGGGGCCACGCTGGGAGGCCACGTGCGTGGAGGCAGCCTCCGTGGGCTGCGGGGACGGGTGGCCTTGGGGCCGGGAGACCGGCGCGGCTGTGGAGTCACTGATCTTCGGGGACCAGAGCCAGTCCAGGGGCAGCAGAGTGGCCCAGGCTGGCGCGAGGCAGCAGGCAAGAAGCAGAAGGCGGAGGCATCCGCTGGGGTCGGGAGCCATTGGGATTGTGAGCAAGGCGGCCGACAGCCTCTGCCAGCTGGGAGGAGGGCCCGCCCCGCCCTCCCCACCCCCTCCAGTCTCCCGGCCTGGCCACTCCCCCAGCAGATCCACACAGAGAAGGGACCAAGGTGACAGGAAGGACCAAGGTGCCAGCACCTTCAGATTCGGTAACTCCTTCCTCCACACCCAGGGAGGGGAGGGGGGCGGGGGGGGGGGGGTGCTCAGGAATGTGGGTGGGGTGTCTCAACTCACAGCGGGGAGCTGCAGGTTCCTGCCTGGGGTGGTGGTGGGCCTGGGGGCCTCAGGCCATGGCCAAGCCCCTGGGGACACCCAGGCAGCAGCTGGCCCACCCTCCCCACAGCCTAGAACGCTGGAGTCCTGGCCTGGGGCCACTGCTCTGTGGTAAAACTGGAACTTAAAGAATGCTCAGTTCTTTGCAATTCCAATTCTGACCCTACGGTTGCCTCAGAGAGGGGAGAAAGGAAGGGGACAGCAAGGGGCCAAGCCAGTCACCCTCCAGGTTCAGCCTTACACCCACTCAGACCTGGGACCTGGGGCCACCCCTCCAGCTCCCTGTGACTCCCAGGACTCTGGTCTCCTGGGTCCCGCCGGTGTCTCTGAACTACTTCTTGGGAAATGCTGGACCCTGGCCACCGCATACAGGTGGACAGCAACAGGAAGGCAGAGGATAACTCATGGGATTTATTAAGCCTCGGCCACCTGGCCCCGCTGGCCCCAGGGCACTTGGCCTTTGGAGCAGGTGGGAGACAGGCAACAGAGCCTTCTGAAGTGACCATCCCTGGTGGTCTCGGTTCCTGAACACCCTTGCCTGTGAGGCAGTGTCACCTTCCATCCCTGGGCTCCTCAGACATGGACCCGCTCAGGGCCGGGGTGGTCCCACAGGGCGGGAGGCCGAGCCCACAGCCCCAGCACCTAGGAAGAGGAGGGCGCCTGCCTGCCTGGCCTCACACCACACGTCTGCGAGGTCTCAGCTCAGAGCATGGGACCCGAGACACGAGGCGCCTTCCGAGTGTGAGAGGTTCCTTTCCTGGAGCCTGGCCATCCAGGGACAGTGGGCAGGCTGTGGGGACACAGGGCCTTCAGTGTTTTTTTTTTTTTTTGCGGTACCAGGGATCGAACTCAGGACTCTGCGCTTGCCAGGCAGGCGCTTGTGCCACTGAGCTATATCCCCAGCCCAAATATGGGCACGTGTCCTTATCCACCTTATTCACCAGCTCTGGCTCCATTTGATTTCCTGGTTTGTTTTTTTTTTTTTGTACCAGGAATTGATCTCGGGATCTTGTCCTTGCCAGGCAGGCACTTGTGCCTCTGAGCTACAACCCCAGCCCCTCGATTTTGATGGTGGTGTTTTTGCAGTACTGGGGATTGAACCCAAGGCCTTTACAATAAGCTATATATGCAACCCTTTTAAATTTTTTTTTATTTTGAGACAAGGGTCTCAGTAAGTCACTAAGTGACCCAGGCTGGCCTTGAACTTGTGATCCTCCTGCTTCAGCCTCCCAAAGTGCTGGGATGACAAACTTAGGCCACCATGATGGGTTCAATTTGAAACTGTAAATAGTAATGAATTTCAAAACAAGATGAACTAAAACCACTCTAATAGTTGAGGCTTTGCATTGCTGTGAGGCTCTGTATCACCAGCGCTGCACAGAAACAGCCATGGGTCAGGCTGCCCAGACCCCTGAGTTTCATAGTGCCCGCCTACCTGGTGCCCCATGACCCTTCCCTGCTGAGCAAAGCCTGCTGCCTCCCTGCACTGCCACTGGGTGGAAGGAGGCTGCACAGAAGCCGACACGCAAGTATCCCTTGCAGGATGGGACTCCCCAGCCCGAGGTCCTGGGCTGAGCTCGGGGACCTGCAGGCTGCTTCCCTGATTCCCCAAGCCGGAGCGACAGACATGGCCTTTGCAGAACACGTCCCTCACCGCCGACCACTCTGGCCCAGAGCGGCACACGGCCCCCAACACAGGCGAGCTGGGCCTCCACCCAGGAAGAAGCAGCACCTGCGTCCACTTACTTCTGCCTGAGCCAAGCCAGGCCGCCGTGCCCAGCTCTGCCCCAGCAGGCACAGGTGCCGCTCAGGTTGCTGGGCTTCAGTGCCCAGGCAGCACTCAGAGCATGTTCCTCGGAGAGGGCCGGGGCGCCCGAGCCCCTGCTGCTTCAGAGCAGGGCAGCTGCGAGGCCAGGAGGCCCCTGGGCTGGAGAGGTGGGCGGAGCACACCCCACACCTCCTCAGGCCCTGGCTTCACCTGCTTGTGCCCCCAGCTTCCTACCTGAGCACCAGTGGGGGCCCGAGGAGCACCGCTCTCCACAGCAGCGACACAGCTAAGCATCCCACTCGCTCACCTCAGTCTCCCTATGGACAAAAGGACCTGGCTGGACAGAAGCAAAGTGACCCACCCAGAACATCCTGGGCCCATGTGAAGCTCAAGTCCCTGAGGAATACACACCCAGTACCAGGCACCCCACGAGAACCCATCCTGCAGATAGAAAGACTGAGGCACAGGGCCACCACAGGCAGTCAGGTGGCCCCAGGTGGTCTGCATTCATGCACTCTCACACGCATGCACACACAGTCACACTCAGCCCCTGCACACGCAGTGTCCACCACACCCAGCCCAGCACCGCTCACGCCCTGCCCGCCTCCTCCGCTCTGCCCAAGTCCCTCCTGACTGCCTTCTGCAGGCGGGAGGGCCAGGGCTGCTGCCTTGTCCCAGCCAGGCTCTGCAGCTGCAGCTGTGACGAAACAGCCCTGCCACGTGTCGCCAGCTGTGCCCGAGACACGGAGGAGCCATCCGTCGATCGCCGGCCAAAGGGCAGGGCTCAGATGTCTGGGGCAGGACGGCTTCCAACAGCTGACCATGGTGTCCCTGCGCCATGAGGCAGGGACGTTCCCAGAACTAAACCCCAAGACGCACGGATGGTCTCAGCAATGCCCAGGGAGTGAGCTCTGCGGCAAAGTTCACCGCCGCTATGTGATTTCGCGCCTCGCCGTATCTGTGCAGTCTCAGGACAGAGACCCCAGAGATCCTCCCCCAGCCCGCACATACTGAGCGGGAACCCAGATCTGGCCTGCCCCCGACTCACAGTGTGGGCGACGCTCAGGCCTGGCCCTGCACTGGTGCCTCTGGGTGCCCAGACCCTCCTTGGCCAGCCCCGTGCCCACGTTCAATGCAGAATCCCGCACAGATCCAGGCACGGGAAGGAGGGCACACCCAGCCTCCCTGGAGACCCTTGAGGCTCTGACTTGCTGCACACGCTCCTGACAGAGCCCCACACCAGGCGCGCCCATACCACACATTCACACATGCGTGTGCTCGTGCCAGGTTCACATGCTGGCACACGCTCCCTCACCTGAGCACAGGCATGCTCAGGGAGCACTTGGGTGTGGACGGGGCTCTGGTCAGCAGCGTAGCAGCTCACACTCCCTGCCCTGCTCTGGCCCTGTGACGGCTCCTGCCTGTGCCCTGTCCCCACGTCACCGTCTGTGTGCTCAGACCAAGGCACCCAATACGGGCAGCACAGCCCAGCCCAGGAACTGGGGCTGTCAGGGAGTCGCCCACACTTCTCCTGCAGCCCCAGGCACAGGGAGGTACAGGGCACACAGGGACAACTGGGCTCACATGAGGACAGCGCGCGAGCCCCTGGGCAGAGGGGCCTCGTCCCAAGGGAGGACAGAGAAGACAATCCTACTCGAGCAGAGGATCCCACAAGGCAGGACACGGCCAGTGCCAGGTGCCGCCAAAGCTCTGGGCACTGGCTGTGGCCTTTGCAGTCTGCACGTGAGTCTGACCTGGGGCTGACTCCCCTCTGTTTCCCTGGCAACCTGATGAGCAAGTGTGACCCGGTTGCTAGGTAACAATGCCTGGTAACAGTGGCTCCTCCCTGCTGTGTGGGACACTAGCAATGCACGAGGGAGCCGGAGCGGTGGCTGCCCACACTGAGACCTTCGCAGTGTGGACCGTGGAAAATGAGTCACCCCCACAGGGGGCTGCTGCTCAAAGCCCAGGGAAGCCACCTCCACCCCAGGACCCGCTGTCCCACGCTGGCAATGTCCAGTCTAGCTGACCAGCCGCTCTGCCCAGACCCCTCCTTTGTTGGCCACGCAAGTCCCAAGTCCAGGCATTCACCTCCTTGCGGCCCCTGAGGGACCTGCGTGTCCTCCCTTGGTCTCCAGGGTCCCTGGAGCCACCCACCGCTGCCCCCTGCCTGCCAGGCAGGGAAGTGGAAATGCTGCTGCGGAGATATGAACAGATGTTTCCAGAACCGTCACCTAGCGTCCACCTGCAGGTCAGGACAGGTACCAGGTCTCCAGGGTAGCCACAGTGAATCTCTGCTGGCACAAGGAGCAGCCACGGGAGCCACCAAGGGCCGGGCATTTCCGGGACAGGGCCCCAGGTCCTCCGGAGTGCACAGCCCCATGCGCCTGGGCGGCCAACTCCATGGCCCATCCTGGGCCCCAGGGGCTGCCAGGCCCGGGTTCCCTGTTGCAGGGCTGCTCTGTGCCAAGCAGCCCAGGTCGAGGACCCCTGCAGCGGCCCCCCAGAAGGTCCTGGCCCCAGGTGCACCATCCGTCCCAGCTCCACAGATCCTGCAGTGGAGATGCCAGCCCCAGCCAGGGTGTGTTCCGTCTTGTCGGCTGGCTGCTCTGGATTCCTGAATAATGCGGTCTTTCGTTTTCACAAGACATGCACAGGTCAATGCAGGAGACTGGCTTCCTAGGCAGCAGGCTCAGCGTAAGTGCCAGGGAGAGGACGCCCACCAGATCCTGGCCGGCCGTGGGCCTGGGTACCACACAGCCTTGCAGCTGCCTGCTCCCAAAGATAGCACATCCAGCGAAGACGCAACCCTGCGACCTTTCCACGCTGCCTTTGGAACCTAAGACACGGCTTTTCACTTTTCAGGGCCTGCTGGTTTATGATCGTCCCACGCTCCTACACATGCTGCCGGACACTAGCTCATGGCCACTTTGCAGGCCATGACGATGGGCCGAGCTCTTGCAGTGCCGGCTGAGGACT